GGGCCCCCGGGGGGGGGGGGGGGGGGGGGGGGGGGGGGGGGGGTGAATACCTGCCTTGGGCAACCTAACTTTGACTCGCGTACTGTGGATTTTCGCCATCAAGGGCAAAGCGATACGTACCTGTAAGGCCGGGACTAGCAGATCCTGTGGCCATGTAACCGGCAGTTTTGCGAGGGGGCTCGCGCTTCCGCCACTTGGCCCGACGGTTTTGGAACCACACCTGGACCCGCGACTCCGAGAGCGCGAGCTTGAGCGCCAGTTCCTCCCTGGCGAAGACGTCCGGGTAGGGGGCGCGTTCGAACGCCCGCTCTAACTCCTCTAGCTGATAAGCCGTGAAGGTCGTTCTGTCGAAGCAAGAGGGCAATGAGCGTTAAAAGTAGGACTAGACGGACGGAAGATTCGGTAATGTTCTCGATGAATTTCACGCGTCGAGGTCGAACCCCTCCCACCCCCTCCGCCCTAGCCGCCGGCCATCGGTGTTCTGTTTGTTTTGTTTGGCACAGTATGGCCCGATGGACTCTATTAATAATTTTTTTGTTTCTATATTCTTGTTTTTTGTTTTTAGAAATCCGTCCCTGATGCCCGTCATATTTATTACACATGACATGGTTACCAAAATTTGATTGATAAGTCTTGGTACATAATTTATCTCGCGTTTCATGAGATGTGAGATTAAGGATTGAGTTTCCATATTGGATGTATCGCTAGGATGCACCATTGTTAAGCAAAAATATAAACTCTATTTTTTCTCTGTCAAATGATAATTATGTAAATGATAATTATAATGATTCCGATGGTTGTATAATTGACGATGAATGTTTGGCATTATTAGGAAAAGAGAGCTCACCATTACATTTTCCAGGCAACAATGATGACTAATACACGAAAGTAAATGATACTTAATGAAAATATATCAGCGCGATAAGAAATGCCTGTCGTTAAATTGTTTATACTTGCAAGAAGTCAGGTGAGTGAATCCTTAATCGACTGCTCTTTTACACAATGCAAATAACAAAAAAAATTTAGTTGCCTTAACAACACCTATATTGGCCTATATTGAGCTTTAAATTAATTAACACAATATTATTATTTATTCCAACATTATTTTTTTCTTTTTGTTTTTTTTTCTTTTGTTTTACAAATTAGTAGTTTAATTAGTGAGGGGGGGGGGAGAGAGGTGAAACTGAAAATAATACATGTATACATTTTTTTACGACAATACAATATGTTAATAAAGCAAAATTACGCCTTTAAGAAGATTAAAATTTTCACACGCATCATTATCCCGTAATAATAATATCAACTAAAGCCATAACGAATCTCTCACGTGACGATTATTCACGAATTCGCGTAAAACACTTGTCCCGTCGAACGGACATTTTAACAAAAGAACCTCCATTTTTCTCAAACCACTCTAGAATAAAATAAAAAGACGATCCTACAATAAATGATAAATGATATATAAACGACGAAATCGACCAAATGTCAAACGAAAGCGTAAAGAAGTGCGCTATTCGATTAATCGAGCATCGAAAGTCGGCAGAAAAATACTTGTTGCTGTTAAAAGTACATCGAGCACGGCGTGCCCGACACGGGGCCCTCGAATATTGTCGGCACCACTTAAAACGATCTCGCACCCCGCAAAAATTCCAGGCCCTCGCAGCGACGCCAGAGGGACAGAATAATGTGGACAAAAAGGGGGCCGACAGAGCCCCATTAGTCTGCCGATAATGACTCGCGCCCAGATGCTCCGCGATAATCCGACGCTAAATGCACCCGGTCAATCCTCACGCACTTGGCCACGTGTCTCGCGGCGCTACCACCAAGAGCTCCTCGCCGTTTAATGTCCTGCCTCACGACCTTATCTCCCGAATCTCCAGCTCCTCGGCTTTTACAGCGAGGCTGCTAATTGAGCGTCTCGGTGGGGTCGACGAGCAGATGTCGATCCATCGGAAGTCTCCAAGAGAACCATGAAATTGAGCGGACGACGTATGCGGGAACCCTCATACATGGGAGCAAATGACCGGACGATATATCGCTCGATGCATCGCGATTCCGTCGGGGTCCCGGGGCATGTTGGTTATTGGGAGGTTATGCCGATCGCCACTAGCAAATGGCTTCGCTAAACCGGGATGGTACCATTATAGAGTCGATCTAACCCTCGCGCTTGTCCCAACCCTTCCCCCGCCCCTTAATTGACACTATTTATTCGTAATGTTGTTCCGAATCAATCTCATTGAAGAAACACTAACAATAACAAAAGAAGTAAAATTATTGGTTATGACGTACCTGGTTTTCTTCTTTTTGATGCCGTTGTTCTCAGTCTTTTTTTTCGAATCCTTCTTCGCCGGTTGAGCCTCGTTACTCACTGTTCAACAAATGATAAAAATTGCCAGAATTAGAACGGAATGCAGAGGCTTGTCCATGCGAGCTCAATAATAAGCGAAGAAGTTTATTAGAATTTGATAATGATGCAATGATTACTCGGGCAGAATGCGTTTGAATTTTTTCCTTACGGATCCGTATTACGGACATTAGACATTTTAATGCTCTGTCGAATTTGAGAATGTAATAGTCAATATCCGATCGAAGCTGGCTTTCCTATAATCTCAACCACTCCGCATTGATATTATTTCTGACCGACTTGCTAAGAAAAATAATAATAAATAATAATAAATAATAATATCATTTATAGCAATGTACTGATCGAGTATAAACAAAGTCGTGAAATATTGGATTAAAATAATAAAATTTGAAGAGAAAATGTTCGTACAAATGTTTTCAACAAACTTAAAATTAATAAAATAATATTGTTATCGACTACA